GACCCGTAGCCCGCAAGGGCTTTTGACCCGTGGCCCTTGAGGGCGAAGGGTCTAATTGTTTTAGTATCACCCAACTAGTCGGACAGAAAAGGCAATCATAAGGTTAGCAAATGCAAGTTGAAGAAATATTTATTTGGGAATAAAACAAGAGAAAGCGTCACGCTCGATTGTGCCAATTTCACTACTTGAGGGCTATTACTACCGTATTTACCCGTGTATAAGTCGACCACCAATTTTTGAGGCCAAAAACTAGATTTTCTTAATTTCCAGGTAAGAATTTCTTGGAAAACTTATCTTGTATTTCTTAGAATTATCTTTCAGCTATCACAGATATGTAAACAAATCACAGCAAGTTTCAATGCACAGTTTTAATAAACTTATTATGGCACGTATACGAGCATTTTACCAAGTTTAGAAACACGTGTGTATGCGGGCTTTTTGACAATAATATTTGTCAAATGTTCACAAAATCAAACATAAGGATTTCAAACGAACCTTTGTAAGTGCAAAGAGATTAAAAGTGGCTTTATAAGACAGGCAAAACACCAAAGAAGCTCAAGACTTTCAAACAACTCCATAAACAAAGTGCAAAGCATGTGTTGGGAACTTGGTAGCCAAGCCTTGAAATCGGTCAAGTACTGGTACAGAAGTCCTCCCGCTCATATCCTGCCAGGTTACTAAGCAGAGAAGTTTGAAGCACGAAAGATGTTTTCTCCAAGCAGCTTTACTGCAGCTTTATTTACAGGAAAAATATGACAAAATTGAGCCAGTGAGTGTCTACAAGATTCAGGTTAACATTTAGCGGATAAATGTTGATGCATTTTAACTTGAAGCTCTGATATAGAGAAACAGATCGCTAAGCGAACATATGTTGTAAACTGTGCTGCGGTTTATTACATGTTTATTAACATTGAAAGACAATTATTATGCTAATTATTTGACTGGCGCTTGGATCTCAAGTTTTGACCCATGTATAAGTCAAGGGTGAATTTTTGGACTGATTTTTAGGTCTTGAAAGGTCGACTTATACATGGAAAAATACGGTAATAGTCCTCTAGTAGCGTAGCCAATTAAAATGCAGGATTTGCATTAGTCCACTAGTTGGGTGATACTAAACATGAATACCATTTGATTCCTTTTTAATATCATGAGTGGGTTTGTTTGATGTGTTATTGTATGGAGAAATTTCATGCCAAACATTGCCATCTGTCCCCTTTGGATATATTTTTCTTTTCTCCAAGATGCCATCTACTTGGAATCATTTGTCTCCAATCTGAGATTTGATTAACAAGGAACTGATTTGATGTAATATACACCGTAACTTAGAAAAATAACCCGAAGCAAGTATGTGCGCTGATTGGTTTAAAACTGTTTCTATAACTCAATAGAAACGGAACTAGCACAAGCTGTTGAAAAAGTCATTCAAAACTTTATCCAAATCCTCTTCACAGACACTTCAGAAATGCCAAGTAGTGGCCGTCATTGTGTTAACAAGTGCACACTGCTATGCTACTCACTGTCTATCACAGAATAGATAGTGAGTAGTGTAGCCAATCAGAGAACGGCATTCATGATAGAACACTAGTAGATTTAAACTAAAACTCGATAGAGACACAGTACATGGTTTCTATTTCTTAAGTACAGCTGATTTGGCAATTAAACTCTTAAAGTCCTTATTGTACAGGTTACAGTTAAGGTACCATTGTATTTCAGGTAATGTAACAGAGGAGAATGCACTTCCCCCTGAAGTACCTAGGCGTCGGAACTTGTTATCAAATCTTACAAATCCAGCAAAGTCACACCTCAATAGGATATCAATCAGTGGTCCTCAAGATTTCCGTCGCGTTTCTGCAATCGTTGATGTGGACATTATCCCTGAAACTCAACGTCGCGTTAAATTATTGAAGCATAATACCGACAAACCCCTTGGATTCTACATACGAGATGGAACCAGTGTGCGTGTGACACCTAGTGGATTAGAAAAGGTTCCAGGTATTTTTATTTCAAGGCTTGTCCCAGGTGGGCTTGCTGAAAGTACTGGTTTATTGGCAGTGAATGACGAGGTTCTCGAGGTTAATGGTATTGAGGTCGCAGGAAAAACTTTGGATCAAGTAACGGACATGATGATTGCAAATAGTCACAACCTTATCATAACTGTCAAACCATCAAATCAATTTAATAATCCAGTTATTGGGAGATTAAAGCATGCTGAGCCAGACCGTACAAAATCTCAGAGCCTTACAAACTTAGCAACACATGCTGTTAACCCTGTTCTGAGTGCAGGATCACCGACAATGCATCATGCTTACCACAATGAATTGGCCGAAGAAATACCAGACAGTGATGAAGAAGAACATCCAACAGTTGATGAGGATGGTATTTTATCAATATGATCACTTTTCTACGCAAGTCATAATGGGGGTTGTTTCTCTCCAGCGAAACGTTACTACGCAAATGGACAGTTATAAAAAGTAATATTCTTGTAGTTTGGATAAAAGGAACTTTATATACAATTAACATTTTAAGTGCATGCATGCTATGTTGCCTTTTGCGAACGCAGTAGAAGTGCTAAAATAAGTTTATAAGCTCCTGGCTTGGATAACGTTTGATGAAAATTTTACAAACAAATATCTAGTTAATCTGTGCTGTTTTGGAAATGAATTTTATAGCATTTGAATCAAGACATATACTGACTGGTATTTCCAGTAAAAGCGAATCTTTTGCAAATTAAAAATTTGTATTTTGAGGCAAACTGCTTCATCCATGCTTTCAATTCTCCATTCCTTTTAATTTACTTACAAATTATTATACTGATTTAAAATCAATGTGATGAGAGCAATGTCATCGTATTTCAAAAAGTCAAAAGAAAGTTATGGGAAGATGTTGAATTACAGGAATACACATGTATTTCACTCACTGTCAAGATTAAAGCTGATGTAAATTAAGTGCAGTATTAACATTTTTCTGTCGCTGACTAATTTTAGCAAAAACCACACAATTGGTATAAATGTTTTTTTTTTCTTTTCTCATTTTTGTACTTTGAGATTTTAAGTGATTGGTGTAAGTGCATTCAACTAAGTAACGATTTTGCACTTGTGAGTGACATTACATGTACCTAAGCAGGCCTTAAGAATTTTTATTCTTGTGCACATACATGTATTCTGTAGGTGGTGACAATGATGTTTTGGGGATCAAAAATGCCATACAAGGTGGTTAATAGAACAAACTTGTAAAAAAAAAAAGTACCTAGTTCTTTTGTGCGCCACTCTTTTGATTTAGATAATTTACAAAATAATACATCAAAGTTGTCTGGACTTTATATTGGTATGTGTTGTTGATTGCCCTTTGTGTTGTGTTTTCGTATTTCATTTACAACCAGTAACTACACTACCCTGTAGACTACATCATACATCAATTTACAAGTTGAACATGGGTGTTTTATAGGATCAAATGTTATGTGTCTGTTGTGAGAGGTCTGAGAGCACATGGTGGGAAATTGTTCAGCATCATTTTTGCTGACCTGATGTTGTGCCAAATTATTTGCTTTGCTGAACTTTTTGTGGGGGAAGCTTTCCTTTCTTGTGGATATAATAGATCACTAATGGCATTGTTTCTTCATCTACTTTGGTTTTGTATTAAGTTTAAAATGGCTGTGTCTTGAATGGATGTAATTCAATTGTTAGACAGTACAAGATTTATCTTATTCCTTATTCACAATAAAACTGACAGGTTAGAAATATAAATTATTAACATTCTCTAATAATTCACTTAAATTCTCTCTCTTACTCTATGTGGAATTACAAAGGTGCACTTTAAAAGGGATTTAGTTCTCCTATGAGTATACAGTATACTGTAGTTTTCGACTGGAAAGTTTGAACTTGCTATAGTTTTATGTTTTTTTTTATGTTTTTTGGCAAGTGACAATTTCGCTTAAATCTCCTGACCATGTTATTTTGGCTATTAATTGGAAAACAAAGTACTTCGTGAACAGAAATATAAATAAACGTAATGTAAAATATATCTATTAATAACTGTTTTTAATACGTAAGTAAACTTAAATCAAAGCTTCAAACTGAGGCTATGGAGCATTTTCACTCACATGGCCTACAGCCAAGCAAATTTTAATGGAACAAAAGAAAGTCTTTACTAACAAATGAGTTCAACTCCAACAGGACTGGTTTGGGACACAAGCATGGTCACCATGTTATTGTTTTTGGACACCAATATGGCTGCCATGATGTTATGTGAAAACACTCTTTTCCCTTTGGTAACCTCCCTTTTATTGTGCATCTTTGGGTATAGAGTTGTCTTCTGTTGCTGGCTTTCAGATGTTTTAACTTCAACTGGTAATTAAGCATGTTTTGTTGGTGTGAATGAGGCACTTAATCGGACAGATGTGAGAATAAATTATATAATTTTAAATGAATGGATACAGGAGTAAACTTGAGTTGTTAGCTAATAACATGACCAAATAGGGTTAATCTCTGTTTATCTCCTAAGTGCTAACAATAGACCCTTTGCATAAATGGTGCCAATATTTGAATAACAATACTTATGCATCCCTAGCCTCTCATTCATGTGACAAACTCTTTGTCTGGAAATGTAAGCACAAGGCTGAGGATGTGTAAAGTATTGTTATTCAAATTTAAGCACCATTTATGCAAAGAGTCTATGATCAGCATGAAATAGACAAACATCTGATTTCTCTGTAAATTATATCATCACCTAGGTCAAGTGTAGTCATTCTCTCTCTCTGGTAGTTTATGAAATGTGTGGATGCCAGTAGGGAGAATTTGCTTGTTGACATCAGCTTGAAGGGTCAAAACAAAGGTAGTGAAAATTAGTTTTACCTGGAAATAAAGATTCAACATTGCTTAGCAAAATGTAGTTTGGTAGTCTTAGGTATGTATGTACCTTAACCCATCGACCCCCAAGGACGTATATACAAGTCCTGAGTGGTCGTGCTCTTTGTACCACTTGTGATGTCATCAATTTAAATGTCACCAGATATTCTTGATAAGCAGATATTAGAGCTAGGATAGATCTATTCGCATAACGGTCAGTTTTGGATATAGACAGCATTCTGACGTAGCAAATTGATAAACGTTATCAGTTTTGGTGCATAAATGGTGGTAAAATGGCCCGCTATACCTATAACTGATCAAGGTCCCATTTCTAGGCTTTGCCCATTATTCAACACCCAACTTTTTATGACAGCCAGAAAGACTATGCAGCATAAACGGTAGCGAGAGTAAAAAGCCTGAGCAAAAGGAAAGAAAAGGGGCAAGAAAATGGGTAATCGCAAAAAACAAAACATGCACATGCACCGGATTGAAACATTGCACATTTTTGTACCTAATCTTCCGAAAATCTATCTTTTTGGTAAAAAATAGCTTTTTCAGCAAAACCTAGGCCCATTTAGCGTCGGCAGCCAAAAAAGTGATTTAACAGTCAAAAACAGCATTTTTTGGTGAAAATTTGGTAGTCAAAGGGTTAAGGTACCTGGCTGAGTGTTTATTGGGGAATTATTTTGGATTGGGTGTAGAATATAAATCTCTTGCTCAAGTGTTGCTGTGGATACCTCGCATCATTACTTTTATTACACTGCAAATTAACTTCATAGTTGTAAATGAGCTGTAGGTTACACAGTAAAAATATTGTAACTCAGTTACTTGTGGCTTTCTTTTTAAAACAAAAGAAGACTGCAGCCTGCTGTCGTTTTGAGTAAACTACACAAATAAATAATAGTCCTTTTGTAAATTTTTTTTTAAACTATAAACTTCATGTACATTTAGTAATTTAATATCTCATGTCCATAGTTTTTCTGATTTCACAAAAATAAAGTTTTCCTGCATGTCGTACTAACTATTTAGAGGGAAAACAATTCAGAGTACAAAATATAGTTGTAACATATGTAAATTATACAGGTGGAAATATTTACCTGTTTGCAAACAGAAGTAGTCAAGAGTAAGTGTAGAGTATGACCAGGCTCTCTCTTTTCATTATGCTTTTGAGTAAGGAGAATAGATATGGAAAAATTATTGCTGTAACCTGTCTCTTATACCCAAGTCTTCGTTCTACCATGTTTTTGCTCCTTGCTTGATAATCAAAGAGAAAAGAGAGCTGCTGGTATAGTTACAGGAAATGGGTTTCTATTCCTGTGCATGTTACAATACATGATTTTAACACTTCCTTTTCACCTGCACAGCATCAACAAACCTATAAGGTAAGCAATATCTACAGGGCTGTCGTAAGGGCCTGCTACCAGGTAATTTAACTGCCTGGAAGACAGCTTATCACTAGCTGACATTTTGTTAGAAAACAAGGACTTTTAAGTCCTTTAAAAGTAGTACCCTAAAAAGGTAATTTTAAGGGTGCACAGGCCAGAAACACTGGTTGGGCTTGAGCAGTGCTGTCATTTCCTTTACTTAGCTCCATCACAGACTGGAAGTGCATACAGACCTACCCCAGGGTTGTACAGACTTGATAAGACTTCCTATGAGTTTGACACATGCTCTTGACTTTGAGACAAAGATGCATGGTGAACTCAGTGGGTGTCTATAGGAAGCTAATTTATTTTACCCACTACAACATTCAACTGCTGAGACTATGGAGATCTAAAGCACCAGTCTTGTTTAACCAGCGTTCATAACTATAACTAAAATGGCGTCCAGGCTCCTCTCGTAAAATGTCATCCCTTTTCTTGTCTGTGTTTGGTAACTCTTGTTTTTGCTGTGACTTTGAATTTTTCCAGTCCTCAAAACTTTTTCCTCCCATCCTTGCTAATCTCTTATTTTCTTGCTCCATCTCTTTTCTTAGACGTGCTTCCCTTTGTTTTTGTTGCTGTTGCTGTTTCTTAAATTTCTTTTCTTCCAGCCACTCGTCAAACGTTGCAGACTTAGAACTCTCACGTGACTTACTAAAGGGTGAATCAAAGGAGAAATTTGATTATTATTCAGAGCTACATTTTAAAGTGATGGCTTGGGACTTCATCAAGTAGTGTTAGCATTAAGAGGTGACAGAATAAGGTTTTGATTACTAATATGAAATCAAAACAGTTAGAGCACTGGGATTAGCAGTTGCTCTACACTTTCCCTCTTGGCATTGTGAAGAAAAATCACCTCCAAGACATAAATATTGTCATCTAAATATTAGGAAACAGAATTATTTACAAGTAGAAATAATATTCACACTACTGCCCTGGGTGGAGGCATTGTTTCTTTAGTGAGCGAAGTTCAGAGTTGCCCAACTCAGCCAGTTCTTGAACCCAGAATACTTGATCTGGGCCAGGTTGTTGGAAAGCCAGTGAATGCTAACCTGGGATTAACAGTTAACCAAAGTATGAATTTTTTTTTGTATAAAAAATGCTTTTCACTGCTTATATTTTGTGCAGTTTGAGATTGTTCAAACTCAAAACAGAAGGACAAACAATATAGACAGAAAACCTCACTGAAAAGATGCAAACCTTAAATATCAAAATTCTTGCTATTCCTGGGTTAGCTTAATCAGGCTCTGAACCCCACCCTAGCGTCCAAGTCATATCTCAGTGATAATTTATAGCTTTTGGAAGAATGGTTCATTTTTTTTTTTGATGAGCAACAGCTAGTAAACATGTCACCATAAACTGCCATAATGCACCAAGTCTAACCTGCTTGCCATTCTCTCCTTGGATCTTATATGTGGCAATACTGGCTTCCCTCCAATGCTGTATCTTGTACCTAACAGACAAATGACAGAGTGATCATGTGAATATTACCAATTGTGAGGTCACTGTTGGAGCCTAAAGATGATCAAAATTTGCTAAAGTTGGTCTTGTTATAATCTGCATAAATTATGATTGTCGGGGTTGGGGCGGGAGCAGGAAAGAAGTTGCCACTTCCTATTCTCATTACTATCCATGCTACTCTCTTTGTTCCTGACTTTTGATGAATGTATTTCTAACATCTATGAAAATTCCCCCTTTTTGTACACCAGCCCTTCCTTCCACTCCAGCTGCTTACACATATAAGCCTGCTAGGGGACTCCCATATACATGTAACAAGGACGGGGTGCATGGCAGGAATTTAGAGAAGAACCCCTAAGAGGTACCAAGATCCTGTTTTGTGTACGTGGCTGGAAATTTTTTTCATGCCTAAGAGGTACCATTTCTAATACAACATATCTTGTCATTTTTTTTTTTTTTTCAATCGATACCCTAAAAGGTACCACAAAAGATCCTGCTGTGGACCTTTTGCGGCTGAACATCCTAAGAGGTACCAAACCGCCTTTTTAATAATAATAATAATAATAATAATAATAATAATAATAATAATAATATTTAGTGAGGGAATCCAACTCGCCAAAGGCGGTTTTCAGTGGAGCCCGCCTCCTCTAAAAGGTATGATGTCAGCACCCCCTTCCTTTTTATGCAGGAGTCCACCCCTGCGATGTAGCTTTCCTGTCCTCTTTTAACACTTTCTACCACACACTCTTGGGGAAAGAGACCCAAGTTGGTCACTTTGCCCTCCACTACCAGTTTGTAATTTCATTTAAGTGGTTACACGTTTCATCTCGAATGTCAAGGCTTGTTTTTAATATCAGCACAAAATCAATTGCATACAGCTGTAAGTGTTCATAACTAAATTTTCTAAACTAGTAACTATATCACAATAGGATCGTCCACAGCGCCCCCAAGACGCCTTACCATCATAATCCACGTCTGCTCCATCAATAGGAGGGAGTTTGTGTTCGCGAAGATCAGAAGAAGATTGTTCAAGAAAGGAATCCTGCAACTGGTTAGCTTCTCCCACCGCTCTCCTTCTTGGAGCGCTGATTCCAGTTCCGGCAAATTCTCCCGGCGGTAGCGTTTGACAAAAATAAACCTGAGCATACCTTCCTTTTAACCACGTTGGATAAGCAGAGTCGAATTGCTGATGCATCATGAGTGACTTGCTCTTTCTCCTGTGTTTGGTTTTAGCCGCTCTCGTCTGCCATTGAAATAGAAATAAATGTCTCTCGCTGTCTTTGAAGCCCCATTGGCTCGCCACCATCAGAGCTGACTTACCCTGAACGTCCATTTCGTCCATAGAAGCTCCTTTCTCGAGCATCAGATCTATAGCGTTCGAATGTCCTTGAGAAGACGCCGCGTGCAATGGAGTACGCCCGAATGGTGTCTTCATATTCACGTCTGCTTCTCCATTGTCTATCAAACTTTTTATCAAGTTGTTACGGCCACGATGGGCAGCAATGAATAGAGCAACTGAAGCTCTTTCCTTGGCAACAGAAACCTTGTTTTTATAACTCAAAGGATCTAACGATTCCCACGCTTTTTCAACTACGACACCCTCCTTGAGTACTTGATCTACTGAACCTCGACAAACTGCAGCAACAAGGCTGTCCCACATTCTCCACAGCTTCAAATTAATCGTGGCTCCCGCTACGACATCGTTGTGTCTTAAGTCTGAATCGTCAAGCATATCCCCTTCATCGAGGTACTGTAAACGCTGTAAATTGTAAGGAATTCCAACTACAAGTTCCGCGTAGCATTTTAGCTCTCGTATCTTCATTTCGGCGTGAACGTTCTTCAGGAGAAACTTTTCTCCCGTGCTGGCTATGTATATATAAATGTCGAAAGGAGCTGTCTTTAAACCCTTTTTCTTCTTCTTAATCGATTTCATGTCCACTGCTTAATAGAAGCCCCTAAAAAGCCAAAACGTAATGGTTATAACCTGACGTTCGACTTTCCGCAGCCATGTTGCCATTTAGAGAGTTAGCTTGGTTTATCCATATCTCGTGACCATAGCAACGCTGTCAATTTTAATTGAAGTCAGACCGGCTAGTTGTCGATGTCACGCCAACGTGATGGTAAAGAAACGAGTTTGCGTAAGAGGCCATTTCTTTGAAACTGACCATTTATTGTCAATTTTTTTTTTTTTTAACTAAATATAGACTCGATCATTGTTAAGAAGAAAACACCATTGGCTGGAAAGAAAACGAGCGGTTGCTGATGTTAATTTTTTCGATTTGCACATCTAGTAGACAAAACTTTCAGTATTGAGAAAGACGCCAAAACGAGAATAATAATAATAGTTAAAAGAAAGCGATTGTTTCATTTATCTTGAAAGAAGAACGATTCTACAAGTGTATTCATGACTGCTAATGTCGTCGCTCGGGGAATGCATCACGTTTCGCTCGGAAGTGCACCCGTGACGTAAGTTTGATGGGTTAACTAAACAGTAACATGTTTAATGCATGATTGATTGATCCTTATCATCACGAGATGACAAAGCTGTAAACGGCAACGTATGATCGCTTTATCAATTATCCTTTCGTTTATGCTTCAGTTCCGTACAAGCAGACCAACAGTAAGAACTACCATTCCCGGACGAGAGACCAAGATGTTAATGATGACGATTCACGGCTAAAACGCCCAGTGGTATTACCTCTGCAAGTAATTATAGCTATTTAACACTCTCTAACAGCCCGTCAGTGTTTCAGAGATCGGACGGAGACAACGTAGAATGGAAAGGTTGTTCTCAGTACTTATGGCTGTTCTTTGTTTTGATCAAATTCCGAGTTCATCTTCGACGGTAGCAGGTAGGATGAAAGCGACAGCAATCTATATTTGATGATTATTTCATGTAGGGTCCTCGTAAAGATCGCGTCCACGTTGTGATTGAGTTTTCTCAAAGGTACCTCTGATTCATGCCCAGACCTAATCGACCCTTGTGTTGCTGTATTTGGCATAAGTGAACCGTATATAGTAGCGTGGTCCATTTTGAAAAGTGCCATAGCTTTCAAGCAGGAAAGTCAATGGCTTCATGGACAACTGAGTTTGGATTATTCTAAAGTCGCCA